GCCCAGTTGCAGAACCTGGTGGTAAGGGTGCGCCGTGTAGATGCTCATGTACACAAGAGTCGGGCCACTGAGGAACACCAGAACAACCAGCAAGGAGATAAAGCTGCAAAGATTGAAGTGGCTCAGATGGATTTTGATCGGCAACATAAGAGTTAATTTCTTTTAGCCTTGTGGGACCTTGACACATCAGGCCATCAAGGCAGAGATGAAACATACAGATGGGCTGATGATGTAGGGGTGGACTAATGCCCATGTCTCCTGATTTAAGCCCAGCTGGAAACCCAGAACCATGCAGCCACTGGTTTGCCCCCCCCCCCTTCCTTCCTCCCACCACTCCCAGAAGGATGGGGAGAGGAATTGAAAGAATGTAACTCCCACGGGATGATATAAGAACAGTCCAGTAACTAAGGTATAACACAAACCCCTACTGCTACCACCAATGCTAATAATAATGATAAGGGAAATAACAAGGGAAGTGAATACAACCGCTCACCACCTGCCGACCAATACCCAGACTGACCCAAGCATCCATCTAGACCTTCTGGGTTACTGCCCCCTGTTTATATACCAGGCATAATGTGCTGTGGTATGGAATACCTCTTTGGCTAGTTTAGGTCAGGTGTCCTGTCTTTGCTTCCTCCAAGCTTCCACTCCTCCCTGGCAGAGCATGAGACTCACAAAGTCCTTGGTTGTAGTAAACATTACTGAGTAACAACTAAAGACATTGGTTCTATCAGCACTGTTCCCAGCCAGAAAGTCAACACAGCACTGCACCACCTACTAAGAAGGAGAAAAATGACTGCTATTGCTGAACCCAGGACACCGTGTTTTTCACAAATGTGACACATGCTGCAGTTAAGCAATCCAAGCAGTTAAAGGCTCTCTGGTATGGAGGAGCATGGCTGAAGTATAAATATGGGGACGCCTGGCAGATTGTCTATATCACACTCCCACCAACCCGCCAAGGCAAGCGCTATGGGCTTACCATAGTAGAAGCAACCATCAGATCTCTGGAAGCATACACTGTGCCAGAAAACTGTCCTGGGCCTTGAGAAACAGGTTTTGTGTTGACACGGCACCCCAGGGAGAACTGAATTAGACAATGGGACTCATTTCCAGAACAATCTTATAGACACTTGGACCAAAGATCATTGCATCAAGCGGGTATATCACATCCTCTACCATGCACCAGCCGCTGGGATAATCAAACGGTACAATGGGCTGTTAAAAACTACACTGAGAGCAATGGGTGGTGGGACTTTCAAGCATTGGGATACACACTTACCAAAGGCCACCTGGTTGGTCAACACCAGAGGATCTGCCAACAGGGCTGGCCCATCCCAGTCAGAACTTTTATATATTGTAGAGGGGGACAAAGTTCCTGTGGTGCACAACCCAATTTGCTGGGAAAGAGAGTCTGGGTTATTCCTGCTTCAGGTAAAGCCAAAACCACTTGTGGGATTGCTTTTGCTCAAGGTCCCGGGCATACTTGATGTGTAATGAGGGAAGATGAGGAAGTCCTATGTGTACCTCAAGGGGATTTGGTTTTAGGGGAAAACAGCCAATGAACTCAATTATGTGCTGTTGCCTACTAGATAACACTTTTATAGCCCATTAGCTAGGTGCCCATCTCCACCACTCTGCACTCTGAAAAGAATTTATGTCCTGTTAGCAGACAATAAAGTTATGGGAAAGCGGGCAGCCACAGCAGAACTGTCCTCAGTTCACCATCAACTCTTCCTGACTTCCCTCCATTCTTCACCCCTACAAAGAATGAACTTTGATGAAACCAGACAAGTTCAGCAGTAACCAGATGACTTCGGTGGTTTCATTAACAGGCAACAGTCCAACACTCTTGTCCTGGGTGCTATAGCAGTCTTTTCTCTCCTTCTTAGTAGCTGCTGCAGTGCTGTAAGCATAGAATCATAGAATAGTTAGGGTTGTAAAGGACCTTAAGATCATCAAGTTCCAACCCCCCTGCCATGGACAGGAACACCTCACACTAAGCCATATCACCCAAGGCCTCGTCCAACCTGGCCTTGAACACTGCCAGGGATGGAACATTCACAACCTCCCTGGGCAACCTATTCTGGTGCCTCACCACCCTAACAGGAAAGAATTTCCTCCTTATATCCAATCTAAACTTCCCCTGTTTAAGTTTTAACCCGTTAGCCCTTCTCCTATCACTACAGTCCCTAACGAAGAGTCCCTCCCCACCATCCCTATAGGCCCCCTTCACATACTGGAAGGCTGCTATGAGGTCTCCAAGCAGCCTTCTCTTCTCCAGGCTGAACAGTCCCAACTTTCTCAGACTGTCTTCATACGGGAGGTGTTCCAGTCCCCTGATCATCCTCGTGGCCCTTCTCTGGACTTGTTCCAACAGTTCCATGTCCTTTTTATGTTGAGGACACCAGAACTGCACACAATATTCCAGGTGAGGTCTCACAAGAGCAGAGTAAATGGTCAGGATCACCTCCTTCGACCTGCTCGTCATGCTCCTTTTGATGCAGCCCAGGATATGGTTGTCTTTCTGGGCTGCAAGCGCACACTGCCTGCTCATGTTCATTTTCTCATCAACCAGCACCCCCAAGTCCTTCTCCACAGGGCTGCTCTGAATCTCTTCTTTGCCCAACCTGTAGCTGTGCCTGGGATTGCTCCAGCCCAGGTGTAGGACCTTGCACTTGGCATGGTTAAACTTCTTAAGGTTGGCATCAGCCCACCTCACAAGTCTGTCAGCATCCTCTGGATGGCATTTCTTCCCTCCTGGGTATCCACCGAACCATGCAGCTTGGTGTCATTGGCAAACTTGCTGAGGGTGCACTCAATCCCACTGTCCATGTCAGCAATGAAGATGGACAAGACTGGTCCCAACACGGATCCCTGAGGGACACCACTCATTACTGGCCTCCAGCTGGACATTGAGCCATTGACCACAACTCTTTGTGTGCAGCCATCCTGCCAGTTCTTTATCCACCAAGTGGTCCATCAATCAAATTGATGTCTCTTCAATTTAGAGACAAGGATGGGATGGGACAGTGTCAGACGCTTTGCACAAGTCCAGGTAGATGACATCAACTGTTCTACCCCTGTCCTACCCCTGTCCATCAGTTCTGTAGCCCCTTCATAGAAGGTCACCAAATTGGTCAGGCAGGACTTCCCCTTAGTGAAGCCATGCTGGCTGTCACCAACCCCCTTGTTCATTTTCATTTGCCTTAGCATGCCTTCCAGGAGAATCTGTTCCAAGATTTTGCCAGGCACGGAGGTGAGACTGACTGGTCTGTAGTTGCCTGGGTCATCTATTTTTCCCTTCTTGAAAATGGGGGTTATATTTCCCTCTTTCCAGTCATCGGGAACTTCACCTGACTGCCATGATTTCTCAAATATGATAGCCAGCGGCTTAGCAAATTCGTTCGCCAGCTCCTTCAGGACCCATGGATGGATCTCATAAGGACCCATGGACTTGTGCACGTTCAGATTTTTAAGATGGTCTTGAACTAGATCCTCTCCTACAGTGGCCCCAATGTCTTCATTCTCACAGTCCCTGTGTCTGCCTTCCAAGACTTGGGTGGTGTGGTCAGAGCCTTTGCCAGTGAAGACCGAGGCAAAGAAGTCATCCAGAACCTCAGCCTTCTCCAAATCCTGTGTATCTAGTTCTCCTGAGAGCTTCCTGAGGGGGCCTACTTTCTCCCTAGTCTGTTTTTTATTTGCTATGTACCTGTGGCATCCCTTCCTGTTAACTTTCACATCCCTAGCCATGTTTAATTCTAACTGGGCTTTAGCTTTCCTAGCCTGGTCCCTAGCTTCCCAGACAACATCCCTGTACTCTTCCCAGGCCACCTGTCCTTGCTTCCACTTTTTATAACCCTCTTTTTTCCCTCGAAGTTTCCTCAGAAACTGTTTATCCATTCAAGGAGGTCTCCTGGCCCTCCTGCTGCACTCCTGAGCTTGCAGCAGGTGATCCTTGAATATCAACCAACAGTCTTGTCCCCCCCTGCCCTCTAGGGCTATATCCTATGGAACCTTACTAAACAGGTTCCTGAAGAGGCCAAAGTCTGCTCTTTTGAAGTCCAGGGCAGTGAGCTTGCTGCACGCTCTTCTCACTGTCCTGAGGATCTCAAATTCAACCGTCTCGTGATCGCTGCATCCAAGGCTGCCCTGGAGCGTCACATTTCCAACTAGCCCTTCCCAGGACACCTGACCCAAACTGGTCAAAGGGGTATTCAGTACCACAGCACATTATGCCCAGTGTATAAACTTGGGGGAGTTACCTGGAAGGCCCAGATCACTGCTTGAGTCAGGCTGGTTATCTGTCAGTGGGTTGTGACCGATTGTATTCTCTCCCCTTGTTACTCCCCTTATCATTATTATTATTGGTGGTGGTAGTAGTAGTTTTGTATTATACCTTAGTTACTGGACTGTTCTTACCTCAACGTGTGGGATTTACATTCTTTTAGCTCTCTTCCCCTTCCTCTGAGAGCTGGGAGGGGGACACACACACAAAGAAGTGGGGCAGTGAGCAAGCAGCAGTGTGGTTCTGAGTTGTCAGCTGGGTTTAAGCTATGACCCTATCATTTTATGATCAATAGCAGTGCTCACTAGCTGTCACTAAAACTGGTGCAAGATTGCTGAAGGTACAAAAATTAAACAGGTGTTTTGGGGAAAGTGCTTTTAACACTGAATTTATTGAAGTACTATTTAAAGTTTAATTTTCTTTGTAAAAGCATTCTAGAATAGCTGCTTAGATGGGAGGAAAAAACTTGGGTTTAATATTTTATTATGAAATATTTATTTAAATACCTTCTTATAAACTGTCATTTCTAAGTGTTTAAGACTACTGAGGAGAAATTTAGGTCTATTTTAAGGAACCTTTAGATTAAATTTAACACATCCAAAATGGGACAATGCACAAATCCAAAAACCTCTACAGTACTCCTTTTCCCTGGACCCACAAGTCTCTCTTCTTTATATAGAACAATGATTTTTCTTCTTCCTATTTGCAGGTGCTCCTGACCCAACAGCAGGTGCAAGCATAGATGATGAAAACTGCTGGCATTTGGATGAGGAACAGGTCCAAGAACAGGTTAAACTCTTCCTCTCCCATGGTGGATACCAAGGATCAGGGAAGCAGCTCAATTTGCTTTTTTCAAAGGTATATCAAGTACTCTAAACCTTCCATCTTTTCTCTATCCCCCCTCCCCTAGCCAGTCACATCTTACTCAGAGTCCCGTTGTTCTAAAACAAGACAAAGCCTTTGGGAATGTGATGGAAAGTTAATAAAGCAGTGTTACACAATCTGGTGTGTCTTGAGATCAGTTTAAGGATATGAAGTAGCGTTTCCTCTGGCTGCAGCTTTTATGTTCTCTTTCTTTCTACCCGCAAAATGTTGGAGAAACCTGTAGAAATGGTCTTGCAGCAGCTTGCATAATACAGTTGTGGATTACTTGTGGAAGAAGAGTGTTGCAGAATTGCAATGGGATCCTGAAACTCAAAATTGTTACAATTGGGAAGCCTGACTATATTTTTCTACTTAATTTTTTTTTCACATCAGATATATAAATTATATTTCTTATTTAACAGAGGTGAAATGTTTAACACTGCAGAATATTGTCTATACTGTGGTTTGCTTTGTCTTTTTCAAGTTTGTATTAAAAGACTGATTTCCTAGGTGCGAGAGATGCTAAAGATGAGAGATTCAAATGGAGCTCGCATGTTGATGTTGATAACAGAACAATTCATGGCTGACCCTCGTCTGTCACATTGGAGACAACAAGGAAATGCAATGACTGACAAGTATAGGCAGCTTTGGGATGAACTGGGTAAATGTATACACTTTAAAATCATTTAGGTGTTCATTTGTATAATGAATAAATAGTTACATATTTGGGATGGAAGGAAACTTTATTGTGGTACTAGGTAAAGCAAGATAGAGTTTTCTGCAGTTTTGCTTCTTCAGTTAAGGTTGGGTGAAATTGAATTTGTGATCTACTACATGAGACAGCAGGAGCAGAAGCATGGTATGAAACAAGTGTGATTGCAACAGGTTGTAAGTACCTGAGGATCTAAAAAGGATAAAGCAAAAAGTGGAAATGTAGCTATACAACTGGGGGTAAGTATATAAGCCATTTGCCATTAGCGCAAACTGAAAAGATTAAGTAAGAAATCAGTTCACAACTAGAGAAAAATAGACGGCAAAAAAAGAAAAATCATTAGGAGTGTGAGGAGATAGATAGCAACAAAGGAAAGCAGAAGTCCGTTACTGAGCAGGAAAGGAGATCAATTAAGAGAGGGCTATAACAATTAACACTGCTCTACAAGAAAGGTCAGTTGTGACTAGATATATGACTTGTACAATGGAGAGAGGAACACAGGCTGAAATGGGAAAGGAATATTTAAACTGGTAAAGTCTGAAGACACTCTAAAGTGTTTGAGAAACTTGCTGACACAGTTTTGAACTGCTGCTTCATAAGTTCTCAAAATCTGTAGGAATTTGTGGTTGGGAGAGGAAATTTAAAACAACTTGAAAGTAAATATCGCCAATAATTTTAAGGTAGGTAGGTGAGTGGAAAGAATAATATTAAGTAACCACCAGCATGCTTTCCTAGATGTAAGGTATTGGAACAAATTACTAACCAGTAGGTATGTAAGCATATAGAAGATAAAAGTGATAAAAGAAAACCTGAAATATTTAAAATACAATGGTAATTCTAATTTGTTTCTCTAAAAAATAATTCACTGAGTGTATGAGTAAAGGAATTAATGCATATATTTTATCTATAGTAAGGTTTTGGATGCTGTCTTGGAGGCTTTCTCAAAGCAAGTTGAAGACACAGCAAAATGGAATTGCTTTGTGATTCATGGAACTTGGAGTAGTTACCTGTGCTCTCACTCAATCTGGAAAGACACTTCAAGTCTAGACTTACAGGAAAGTCTTGAGACATATTCTGGCAAAACTTCCCAACCCCACCACCACCCTCCAAAAAAACCCCAACCAAGACCAAACAAAACAATAACACAAAACTTACTGATGACACCCCTTGGGACAATATGTAAACACCACAGAGAACAAAGCCAAAACAAGTAATGCTCTTGGTACACTTTAAAGATCCAAAACCAAGCTAAGTGACATTAAATCCAAGCAAGAATAGCGTGCTTCGTTTAGAGAGGAAAAGTCAAAAGCAAAATTTAAGTTTTCTACTGTTAAAGGTTAAATATGGCCATGATTGATTGCATGTTGTCTGGTAGGCTTGAATAGATATGACCCGGTTAGCATAAATTATGTTCATTCTAAATGAAGCATTAGGCTAATAAAGCACTGTCTGTCTATAGTTGGTATTATGTACTTCTGTGGTGGATAGCCTTAATGTCAGAGCAGGCAGTTCTGTCAGTGTAGATATAGGTACCTTCAAGTATATTCTTAGTATGTAATACTACATACTACATATGTAATACATACTCCTAGTATGTAACTTTTATGATGCCTTATCTCACTGGAGAATAATGCTTTTTGCCAAGCTTGACATGTATACAGCAAAATTTTATCCCACCGTACTGAAAAATGGAGGGTCTCATGCTTCATTGCTTATGTGGGTTGAGCTGGTAGGTGGTGGGAGAAGTAGAAATATGTTCTAGATCTGTTACCTGTAGCAGTCTTACCACATGCTGCCAATAAACATAAGAGATTTTGTTAAAATTTTCTTAGCAGCTCCTCTTCTTGTTTCATCAGTCTAATATTAACATCATCTTGACACCACCTATCTGAAGATGGAATCTCTCTGTCTACGGCATCAAATAAGCAATATTTTAGATTAATCAAATTGATTAGTTTACCTCTATTTAATCAGAATTGTAGCTGCCAGTCCCAGAAAGCTGCAGTGCAACCTTCCAGCCTCACCACTACCTCAACTGCTGTATTTGCAGTCTGAGGCAGACCCCGTTGTTTCAGTCCTGAACTGCTATGCCTCCTCTAACAGTATCAAAATATGTTGATTATGTACCACAGATTCAATTGCAAATACATTTCAATCACTTCAGGTTTGCAATAGGCTAAGGATAGAACTTAGTTCTTCCACCTCCAGCTTATGTTTATGTTGCTAACCTGTCCACTTATTCCCCACACCAGGATTCCTTCCACTGGTGCTTAGCAAGTTCCCTGAAAAAATCTGTTAATTGGATTATTCTCTCCACCTTGACTCCTACGTTGTGTGAAAATTAGAAGCTGCTGCCATATTTTTGATAGGATTTCACCTTGATATTCACTCTAGTTAAACACATCTCTTTTTCAGGTGAAACATGCATGTGAATATGCAAAAGTTGAAGGAGGTTTTAAGGGAGACCAGAGTTACAATGGCAAACTACAGAAGGAAGAGCAGGATGTCCCTGGCAACCCTTGATCTGTGTCAGTAGTGGCAGAGAACTCAGACACTCGGTTTAAGGGGGCGATGGTATCATTAGGTTCTAAAATAATGTTGGTTTCTTATCTTGTCATCTTCTAGGATGTCAGAGACCTAAATTATCAGTAAAGGGAGTGGGACATGCATTTGCATACTTTTCATGTTATCTGTTCAAGTGTAATCAGGAGTGGCATATGTCTTAAAAAAAGTTTTGTCTATGATCTCAATTATTTCACAGATATAGGTTAACAACATTGTACTTATGGAGATTAAGACATGTAAAGTATGTAAGTCTAGACTGCTTAATAAAGGCTGGCTTGCTTGCACTGGTATGCTGTCTGCCAAATGTTAGGCATTCGGCCACTTTCTCAGTTCCATTTTGGCATAGGTTTTTAAGCATACTTAAATAACTTCAACTTTTCTCCTTGACTGGATTGCTTGAGCCTTTCATTAAAACTTAACTGATGCTGTCTGTCATTGGCCAAGGATACTGGAAGGACACACTGGGCTCTGATCAGAATTCCTGCTGAAGTTTATGGTAAACTGTGTTGATTACAGATTATGGTAAATTGTGTAGAAATCAGATTGGGTTTGTATGCTTGAAGATGCTGATTTAAAAAAAAAAAAATTAAATATTTCACATCTAAGTATGAGCCTGGCAATTTTCTCATACAAAGTTCTAATTCTATAAGAAATTCTGATTAAAAGGCCTCAAATTAACTAGCTAGTTATGTGCAATGCTATTTTGTTGTGTTTTAAAGCCTCTAGATCAGGAGGAAGAATATAATTATGCTCATCAGATTCCCCTATTGTACATCAAATAATAGGTTGAGCCAAATGCTCCAAAGACATAGTCTTGGAAAGATTAAGATTACAGGTCAAAGCTATAAGATTAGCTCATATACTTCTCACGTTAGAAGAATTTAGATGAGCTTTAGCGATGAACTGGTGAACACTTCCAACTTGCCACAGTAATACATGGATGTGTTTACCAGAGTTTAGAGTGGAGGTTGAATTCTTCGTGTTGCTGTTTAAATGGTGTCTAGGTTGGTAAATTTCAAATGCTGATCTTAATGTGTTTAACTTGGTGACCATGGTTGAAGACTTCAGTATATCAGAACGATTAACTATCCGAAACTCTCAGTTTGTCTTTTTAATTAAATTGCATTGGTAAAATGGTGGAATATGGAAATGCACAGTAAATATCTGCTGATGCCTGTTGAACTGAGATCTCAGATTTGAAGAAAAGGTCAGTTAACCTTCTTTGTAGTCTAGAGGGGAAAAAATGGTCCATACAATCTTACTACAGCACTCATCCATCAAAAATTAAGTAAAAGTTTCTTGTTCTCTATGAAAATGAAAAAAAATCCTTAATAAAAGAAGAAAATTTTTCTCTGTGCCCCAGACCAGGGATCATGATGGCTGTGAGGCTCTGCTTTGGAATTAAATGTTGAGCACTGCCAGATGCCAGACATTGAGAAGAGGCTGAATTTTATTGGCAAATGGGATCCGCAAATTAATCGGTGTTTTCTGCAGGCTTCTGGCTGTGAAATGAAATTCTCTTTAGCCACATGGATAATACAGGACCTGAATACAAATGTCACATGTCACCATCAGGGCCCACTTCGAAAGAATAGCATTCTCACTCAAACGCTGCACAATTACAGATTATTTAAATATGGAGACTACATTTAAACTAAAAGCCCCATTTGCTTTATATTGCAATTTAAATGTCCTCTTAGCAAAAGCTAAGTGTCAAATTAAATGAAGAAAGTGCCCACATTTTTAAAGCTGAAATGCAAATCAACCTGATCAAATGAATCATTATTCGTGTCAACCCTAAACCAAGCCATAATTTGAACATCTACTGTTATCAAAGCAGGGCTGCTCTTGTGACAGCTTAATAAAGCTGAAACTGTTAAACTAAATTGCATATGCTTAACCTGATGAAAGTAGTCAAGTAGAAGAATCTAAGATAGGTCTCTACTACTTGGTGGAGTGAGGGAGCCAAACAGGTTGTCAATATGTAGATTATAATATCTGATATTGTTTTGTGAACTACCATTTTCAATATCTATATGTTCTCGCTTGCCTTTGTGGTGAAGAGACTTTACATAATTTGCATGTTTCAAAACAACCATTTCTAGTAGATTTCCTTCACTGGGAAGGAATGGGGGGGGATAAGGTGGAAAAGATTTTGTAGGTGAAGATAAAGACACTTTAATAAAGAAAAATGCTGCACATGGAAGCAAAGGAAAACAAAAGATTTATTCTCTACTTCCCATCAGCAAGAAATGTCCAGCCACTTCCCAGGAACTTGGGTTTCAGTACCCATAGTGGTTGCTCCAGAAGACAAGTATTATAATAACCAATGCCCCCTCTCCTCTTCTTTTCTCTTAGTTTTGATTGCTGAACAGATGTCATAT